GGCCGTCGGGTAGCGGTCCAGAGGCTGCGGCGGACGGGAGCCCGGGTCTCCAGACGAGTGATTCATCTCCTTCCCGGCGTGCTGGGGCTTCCCCGTGCCCGAGGAGCGGCCGTCCTGGAAGCCGTGTGCTCTCTTAAGATGCCGGGCAGTCTCGATAACAACCTCAATCCGGTCGGCCCCCTCGTAGTTGACACATCCGCGGCACACCGGCTCGGTAAAATCCCAGATCATCGCCCACGGCATGCGGGGCAAGTCGCACAGATAGCAGGACTGCCTTCTGGAGGCAGCGATCGCCGGGGAGGACATGTTGTAACCCCGAAGCGAAAACAAACTCTCCAAAATGTCCGTCGGCTTGTTCCCGTCGCTGAAAAACAGAAATAACCCTGAATAAGAATCGGTGGTCGTGGTTTCCGTCAGAAAGCAGCAGAGTCGCACCGAAAGCAGCTCATCATAGCTGTGTCCGTTGCCTCGGCGCGCCTCCGTCTAAGCTCGCGCTTACAACTCAACTCGAGCTCTCAATGTAGGGCCGTGACGTCAGCGTCGTCAGTCGGCTCGTGCCCTGGGATTCTATTTACTGGATTCTTCGATGACCCCTCGGGCGCATGCTCAGTGTGTCTATCTTTATCTGAAGATTACACACAAAGATCGTCTGTGTGTACACGTGAGGCATTACTTTGCTCTCTTTTGCTGTGACCGCGACACGGTACATAGAATAGAAGAGACCTTGTCCTGTAGCTCAAGGTATGAAAATGCACAGACACACAAGCAAACAGACAAATAAAAGTTAAAGACTGGAAAGAACGTCCAAATTTAAAATCCTAACCCAAGAGCAGTACTAACAGTTAGAGAAAATAAATATGAAAATAAAAGGACTACAACTTATAGTTAAAATATAAGAAACAATGGTACATCTTTGTTGTCCCATTCCTGACAAAAACCATATTGATAATATTAATGATAATGATGATGTTTATATATATATATATCACTTTTTATACATGAGCTGCAGTGGTAGGTCTAGCCTTAGTTGTTGATAGGCCTCCAGCCATCACACACATACATGGAATACAATGTGCAACATGGCGGTGTGTTGACACATCGCTGTAAGGGAGAGCAGCGGCTCACGTGGCATCTAATGGTCTATGGATATCACTGAAATGTGCAAATAAGTGACAGAAAACCAGTCACCCAGGTGTCACCACTATTCTGGATTTTGTTCTGTGTCGATGTGCTGTGTTACCAGGGGTGTCTGCCCATGTCCCCATAACTAAATCTGCATCTGCAAGTTCTTTGTGGGCAGTTTGGTCCATTTTAGTCCATAACAAGAAAAACCATTTACTCCGGTCATTGTGAGCAGGAGCTGTTGTTAATATAATTTGCTCCAAATAATCTTGTCATGCTGTGTTAGAAGGTGTCACCTGTGTGGTTTTAGGAATTGGAGGCCAAGTGAGACCTCCTACCTGTCTCTCCTCCTCTCTGCTCTGCAGGGACCCAAAGCGCCTTTATACTGGAAATAAAACCTGAGCAGGAGTTCATCTGAGAGTACGCGCGCGCGCACACGTAAGAATTCAAAAAGTTGTGCAACCGCACACTTTATTTTAGGAGCCAGAATCTTTTACTTTCTTTTTTAATCACATGTTTTGCTCCCATCAAAAGCACAGGACAAAATAAAAACTGCATTTTAACAATCTGTGAAAATGTTATTTTGGGGTGTAACACATGAACTCTGCAACAGGTGCTGCAGCTCAGAGGCATGTTGCACACGCACAGCAGGCCAACAGCCAATCAGAGAATTGAGCTGTTGTTACCAGGTGGACTGTGAATCTGGCTCTGTTCACACCACTGCTGAGCTGAAGCTGCACATTAAACATAAACCAGCCTGGCTTCTCTCTGCCTCCGCTGCAGATACTGTGCCATCGACTAAACCCTCAGCGTTTGTCGATTTGTTGTGTCTGTTGTCCTTTAAGACAAAAAGTGGCTTTCTGGTGAGGATGGACTGTTTTGTGCGTGAGCAGCAACAGATTCTTTGTTTAACTTGTTTATTTTGGGGATGATAAAACAGTCCTTTTTAAATGACAGTCATTTACAGGCTCACTGACTGAAAACAGTCTCAGAGGTAAAAACGCAGTGCTGTGAAGTGAGAGGGGAGGAATTCAGAGGAAAACAACAGGCTGATGCGTTATCATGTTGGTGTCTGGCCAGCAGTGAGTCAGCAGCATCATCTCTTACTCAGGCCTCCCAGCAGACACTGGTCTAACGGTGTCTGTCCTCGGCCAGAACAGTTCTGGTCGGACGGTGTGCACACATCTGCCATGCATACGTTTGTCCATCCAACGGTGTTCGTCTGCTTGTTGTTGTGAAGTGGTTGTAAACAGGTCGTTAACGTTGCGTCAGCCTTTTCCACGTTCAGTAATAGTCCTCCTGGACCCGACTTCAGAACCCTTTAAATTATTGTCATAACTGGCGGTGTCGTACATCCACGTCAGATTTGTTCATATTTTCTTGCAAAACCTTTTACCTTTGTCTGATTTGTTTGGAAGCAGACGTCCTATCCAATATGTCCTGTCCAGACAGAATAAACACCCAGGCAGATGTTTATGTAGTTCTTAGGCTTCAGACGTGTTACCACACATGTAGTCCTCTGGTACCAACAGACAGGCACAAAGTCACTCAGATACCACTGTTTGTGTCAGTGATGCCTGAGTTGCACCCAGACAGCTCTTCAGTTGTTCTCACTCACTCATCGCTTCTTAAACGTAAATGTAGTTATGACTTGGGAGGTCCCTACCTCACCTACTGGGAGGTTAACTAGGTTATGAGCCCATAAAGCTTTGTTGTCATGATTACAGAGTGCTCCTGCTTCATGTTCTGTCATGGTTTGGCCTAGGTGTTAAAGGAAAGCAGTAAGGTTTAGACGCTAAAACTGTGTGGTAAGGTTTAGGAGTTAAAACCACAAGGCAGGACAAATGTTTTCCTCACTTGTTGCTGTTTTCACTGGATTTTTAGTTCTTACATTTATGCTGCAAAGAGTGTCTCGCTGTGCTGATGCTAATCAGGATTTCATCACGTCTCAACCCTCTGTGAAGCCTTTCACCAAATGACTGTTTACAGCCTGCAGATTTAACCCACCCCACCCCTCGCCCCTCGTAAATCTCCTGTCAGCTGACTGAGCGTCCAGTCGCGGCCTCCCACAGCCTGGAGAGGATGGGGAAATCCTTCATGTGATTTCACTTCCCAAATGGAAACACAAACATGAACTGACAGCTTGGATGACATTTCCCACATCACTCACTCAGCACTTGAGCGCACAGAGAACACATACGGCTTGTGTTATTTTAACATTTTCAGCTCGTCATAATTTCACTCCCTGATCAACAAGCAGAGAAAATTTATTAGCTGAAATTTTGCTGCAAGGAAATTCCAGGACATATCACACACACAGTACAATTTTTCCAGCAGCAGGGTAAATAGCCCATTATTTGACATGTGGTGAGAAATTTTTTTTTTTTTGCAAGTGACCACTGAAATGTAGCTGTAACTTACAAATCTGAGACACAGGAAAGAAACGTAATCCTTAAGTAAGCAGGATTATTATTATATTATTCCGATACACACAGAAGAAAAAGGCTAAAATAATAACGCACCGTGTCGACGGAGGAATATGAGATAATAAGACACATTTTTCAAACAAAATTATGACCAACAAATCGCTTCAACCAAGGGTTGTGTTTAATTTTGACCTTAAAGAAAGAAACAAATGTGTTAGTGAGACTTGGAAGTGAATCCAAATATATGTGAAAAAAATCTTATTCTGTTTCTGTTCCTTTATTTTGAAACTCAGGGGTGACATCATCCAACATCAGGGTAGGGGAGGGGTGCGTCCGACAGTTTTTGTTTTGGGTCAAATGTCATTGTGTCATGCTGTTATCAGAACCATAATTATGGATGAGTAGGCCCTACTCCATCTCCTGGCTGTTATCACACATCATTTTTACAATGATAAACGCAGAGAGTTTAGCCAAAAGCATCACTTGGTTAAGTTTACGTTGGAGTCAAAGCGCTGATGTACTAAAGTAACACTGTCTGGAACAGGAGACACACAGCTGTCCTATATTTTGTCGTCCCTCCTGCCTCCACGGACTTTGGCACTGTTTAAACAATGCAGCTGTAACTGTCGCTCCTGTCTTTACACTCTCTGATTAATTCAGTCTAACACACATCGAAGGTTTTCATCTGATCTGGCCTGCTGGTGGGCTTTGCCTCTTCTGGAGCAGAAACATGGCTAACACCTGATAACAGCCATTTAATGGGGTGTCAGTCATTTTACTCAGTGAATGATCGGGGGTGTGGCGAAGTGAAAGTAGGTGGTGTCTGAGACTGGCCAGTGACCAGTGTTTATCTCACCTGTACGATTCGTCCAGCCGAGATTTAAAAGACTGTCAAAACACAAAGATCCAGGGGGACGGGAGGTGGCCTGGCCCACATCTTTGGGTTTTTAGACGTGCTCCAACAAAATGTTTTACCAACTGGTTGATCTGAAGCGTAGCGAGTGCAGCAGTCCCAGAGACGACCCCTCCTCTCAGAGCCGTGTTTTGGCAGGTGTGCTTTGCCTGGTCAGCGGGGTCTTTAAATAGCCTCCCCCCAGTCTTCTCAGATGGGAGACTTGCAGACTTGACCTCATGGCTGCGGGGGTCGCCCCAGTCAGTTTATTCAGCTTAGGAGTTTCACACGGGGGGAGGAAGTCTGCACAATGGGAAATCAGCCCAGGAAACGAGAGCTAGGAGGTGACGCCGAGGTCAAGCTGCAGCTTAGGAGTCCAGGACTGATTAACTGTTTACAGTCACCGAGCTGAGTGTGGCCAAAAATATCCCTCAGCTCCTTCATTAGAACATTACTGAGAGTCCTTCTGGCAACGTGACGCCTCCTGTGGCCGCCGTGTCGGAGGCCCTCGGCTCTGATCGAGTTTCTGATCACCTCAGCAGACTTTGAGACAGGATATTTGACAACATTAATATTTTCAGTTTCACAGGTATAAGGGATGGTTTACATCTACCAGGGAACTACCTGCACCAACCTACTCTTTACTAATACGTCTGGGGGCTTACCGTCTGTTTGTTTGGGCCCCTTTATTCCAGTGAGGAGGATGAATGCTAATGATGTCAGGATCAAACGGTGAACCATCACATGTGGGTTAGTGGTCAGGTGTCTACAGATCTTTGGCTGTGCTGTGTATAGTGTGTGTCCTGAGGCTGGTGCTAAATGAGCTCATGAAGCGTCTGCAATTCATCCTCTGTGGAGTAAATGTTACACATTAGTTTTTAATATTTCTGGTGAACCGGTTTTGTCCTGATGGTGGCGCTACAGCAAAGGACAAGGGTGACACCAACGTGGTTAGGAGCCATCCTCTGGGGACCCTGAATATCAGCAGCAGATTTCTTGTCAGGGTGGCCAGGACGTTTGAGGCGTCTCACTCTGGACCCACTGTTTGTCTGAATGTGTCTGTCCAGCGCCCAGCAATGCTCAGTCCACACCGGCAGACGGCATTCGTTTCCAAAAGCTTGTAAATATCATTTAAGGTGGCTTCTCATTAAACGTGGTGTTTGGAGTCGA